TTTAAATGAATGTGGAGTAGCCAAAATAATTGTCCGATGAAGATAAATAGTTCTCTAGCCGAATTAAAATTGATTTCTTTGGATACTTTGAAAAATTATAACGGTCAATCTAAAGTTTTTTTATAGTCTGGCAACGAGCTAGTCATTCTTTCCTCAACGAAATACATCACTTGTTCGAATTGTAGGAAAATTGTTAGAGCCGTTTTCAAGATCCGTATCCATCCAGCTTCTTGAGCCTACCCACTCATACAGTTTTAGTTTTAACAAGTTAAGTAGAGCTATCACAGAAAAAAATAAACAAAAGACCAGTTGAAATAAATAGGCCGAAATAATGTTTTTTTGTCTTAGTTAATGTCATGTTTTGATCCTCAGTGGATTTAAATCATGATTTCTATTCAAGCCATGTTCAAAACTCACTTTCAGATCCTGAATAAATATGCATCTCTTGGAAAGAATTTCTTTACACTGTTCAACATTCTTATTTCTGTTCTCCGTGGTACAAGAAGGAAATGGTTAGTCTAACCAGGGATGCCCTAAGGCTGCTTGCCCTAACTGGGGCTTCAAAACGTCTCCCCACAATGCAGCTAATCGGCATTGAAAATAAATAGACATATGATACAAGAAAGAAAACAAAAGGACATCTAAGTAGGTTGAAGCACTTCATGATGGAGAGATTTCACTTGAGCATTTTCCGATATTCAATCAACAATTTTATTTTCTTATTTTCTAGATATTTCTTTAATTGTACTCCTGGAAAAGTGTACACATTTATTGTGAGCAAACCGTTTCCATCACATGACATTCCAGCATAGTCTGCAGTATTATTACATGTTTTGTCCACAATTGTTTGTTGCTGAAACGAGAAGTTGACTATGAGCGTAAAATTTAACTTTCAAGAAAAATAGTGTTTTGAACTGCCTGAGCGTGGTCGAGAGGCTAAGTACGCTTAAATTTGGTTGGCTTGGCTATCAAGGGGGCTCAGGGTTCAACACGGAAAACATTCTCCTAGATACCGCCACGCCCCTAGGCGCTCTGATCTTGCTATAAGCATGAAAATAGCAGTATGTAAAGGTTATTATTATTGATATTTTTATTACTATTTCGGATGTAACCATGAGTAAGCAGGGTTTGATTGTGTGGACTAAATAGATTCTGATGTAACCACGAGGATTTCTCTAGTTGTTGAGGTTAAAAATAAAGGGTTGAAATTAGAAGAAAGATGTGCGACGAGTATTGTTTGGATTGAGTTACAACACTTTCAAACAAAAACATAAATAGGTCTTGATCTTTTGGTTCTGTCTTCAAGACAAGACTTCTTTAGAACGTCTAAGGATCATGAGCGTATCAAAAATGTTTTACAATAAACAAACATGAACAAAATGAAGCGGTGAATTGGGCAAACTTTCAAGTTCTTCACTTTTATGTAGATAAGGGGAAGCTAATTTTTTAAGAGGAATGCGTAAACTTAGTGCTTGCTAGCGTAGTAAAGAAAATGGGCACTATAATGGGTTAAAGCCTTCAACATTTCTTGCATGATTATTAAAAAGGCAAGTGGAGGACATTGGAAAAGAGCTCCATTCAAAACAAAAAGAACAAAGGAGCATGTCTTGAAATGTTTTCTATTGCCGATGACGACTTCTATCAACGTCTAAGAAATCATTCAACATCAAGAATTGAATCGTGGTCAAAAGTCGTCAAGGTAAATGATAGTAACACATTTCCGTGGCAAGGTGTGGAATGAATGATCACATGATGAAATAGAGGCCTAGCTCTAGAGCCAACTTCATCAGCTTAGAAAAGAATCTCAATAGAAAGATGTTCTCTTCCTGATTGTATTCCACTCGTTTTATTTAGGATTCAATTAACTTTTGTATCCTTTTGTGGCCCGCGACATGATCAATTTTTAGGCTCTCAGGGCAACAAAGGTTGGGCATCAGCTTTCTGACCAATACCAATGCCTCAGAGCTGGCTGACCTCCGTGACCTCTATGTCGAAAAAGCCGCTTTAAGCATAGGTAAACTATGCAGCGGCCTAGGGCTTCATTTTGATGGGGACCTCCCAAAAAGACTAAAAACTGATTTTTGTAAAAGAAACAATAACAAAACTTGTGTTCAATGTTATTTTTGAATTACGCTAGTTATTGAATAAATTGTGTATTTTTATTTTCTATACCACTTGGGGCCATCAATTTTCTAGGCCAGCCGTGGATGGCGTCACTATAGTGATGTAGGCTACCTAGGTTTTTGGAGTGTTGTTAACACTGCAATTTCGAAACTATGTTTTTAGGGCTTCCTTGGGCCCATGGAACATGACGTTTGTTTGGAAAAGAAAATGTAGATGTATGTTGTCCTGGCCACATAATACTGTACACATCAGTCGGTCGGCCTTAATAACAGCTTTTCATCATCTTTATTTCTTTTCTATCACCATTATACGAGTATAATCTAATTTGCTAACTTTTCATCGATCCTGCTTTGTTTATTGTAACACTTTCAGGACAAAACTCAATCCAATGCAAGCCAGCCATGGAAGGAGGTGTCGCCATCATTAAAATTACGGTCAGCTCATTAAACAGCATGTTTGTCAAACACAATGGTCAGCACGTCTTCGGCTGTCTGTCCAGCATAAAATGTGAACAAGCAGGGAGCAGTAGCCTAAATCTTCGTCATATAATTCAGAGGTTACAGGATGGGGTCTACGTTGTAACTCTTTCTATCATAAGCTAGGGGCAACATAAGCTATGTGCAACAAAAGCTTTAGGCAGCATAAAGTATGGGCTACATAACCTACGGGCAACACAAGCTATGGGCAACACAATCTATGGGCAACATAAGCTATGGCCAACATAAGTTGTGGGCGTCATAAGCTATAGGCAACATCAACTATGGGTAACATAAGCTATAGGCAACATAAGCTATAGTCAACATAAGCTATAGGCTTGATTTGGGTTCTGCTTCTAAATCTATATTTTTAATCAATAGAAAAAAAATTAACTTATTGGACGCGTTATCTTCTCGTTGATAAAATATTATAATACATTTGAACTTCCTTGAAGGAAAGAACAGCGCTAAACATATGCACTTGTACAACACTAAACAAGTCTTTGAAATAAACTCATTGAATTAACACATACCACATAAGGCACATACATTTAATCTGTAAGATTTACATTTGTTCAATAGAATCCATTGTAAATGAGAATTCTTTTTGAATAAAAATTTAATCACAAAAAAAATATTTTTAGTTCAAGAAACTCTTGCTCAAGGGCAGTAATTCATTGTATTTGTCTGATGGATGAATTAAGAGAAGATGTCTTCCCGGAAATGATAATAAACTGTTTTTAAAACAAAAAATGTTCAACTGTGTATTGAAGTGAGACAAAAGCAGTAACTCTTGTACCTCGCTGAAAGAGTTAATTAGATATGCGCATTTATAAAAACAATTTGCTGGTTGAAACTTTGGTAATGCCGATCTTTTAACGGTAGTATTTCTACAATTCTTAAAATAGGTTGTAAGTGTGAATCTACTGTCTATGGATACATACCTACATGGTCTACATTGTTTTCTTGTTGTTTGTCTGTTTTACATCTTTTGCTTGTTCTTTCTGAATCGAAGCTTCTACCTAGCCTAAGCTTCATCTAAGAAGGCGGGGGGAGGGGCAGCGGCTTAGATTTGAACTCTGGACCGTCGAGACGTATCACACATTTGTTTTGCAATTTTCGTTTGCATCATTGAATTATCTTTTCGATTAAAGATGGCGTGTGCATTTTTTGTACATTGGTTATACACTTCAATCAATACAATATTCATTCTTGTTTCAGCTTCCCAGAATGTACATACCAGTATCTCTACTATTAATTCTTCTGACAAAGGTAAGTATACATGTAAACTAATTCAATGCTTACAGACATTTCATTGACTCAGAATTACAAAAACATTTCTAGTTGCTATTTTTGACTTAGTAGAAGGGACTGGGTCAAAGGTGTTCAAATGTATGAGATAATTGCAAAAAAAAAAAGTTGTTATAGAAGTGAAACATTTGTAACAGTTCTGTTGTTGTCGCTGTTGTTGCTGTTTTGAAACTTTCAGTTGACTTTTCAATATCTTGTATAGGGCAATGGCATCGCTTATCAATTTTTTTAATTGAGGCCCCCGGTCCACACAAAATGACGCTTGGGCTTTCTAGTCAGCCCGAAAAATCCCCTAACATCCGACCTTCCATAGTGATTGATTGAATGCGCTTTATATGTAACAAATCCCAAACCTAACCTAACACTTCAATTGATTGCATAAGAAGGAGTGTAGTTCAAGTATTAAGGAATGAAGCTATGCATGGCTGCTAAGAAAAACCTAGAAATCAATCCAGATCATCCCATCATAAAAACCCTCAAAGAAAAAGCAGATACTGACAAAAATGATAAAGCAGTGAAAGACTTGTGTTTACTTCTGTTTGTAACCTCTTTATTAGCATATGGCTTTAGTCTGGAAGATCCTACATCACATGCCAACAGAATCCACAGAATGATTAAACTTGGTTTAGGAATTGATGATGATGACTCATCAGCTACTGAGGGCAGTGGAACAGATGCAGCTAGCACAGAAGATATGCCACCACTTGAAGGTGATGAAGATGATGCTTCAAGGATGGAGGAAGTTGACTAAGATGTTATTTATTTCAAAAATTCCATTTCCACATTTGAAAAGTTTATGATGTTGAAGTCTTGAATTAGCTAGACCTTGTACATTCTACATCAGACTAAATCTTTCAGGTGTACATTGACCATATTCACTCATTACATTTGTTCATATTGACAAAATTTGTGCAATTTTGATCCTTTAATAAAATATGTATTAAATTGAAAAAAAAAAAAAAAGTTGATTTTTACATTAAAATATAAGAAATTGTGTTTCTTATTTAACTAGATTAGAGGTGTATATTTCATTCAAGATTATTTTAATACAATAGTCTCATTAATATTACAAGCAAAATTTTACTATTAGAATACATACAATACATACGCACGTAGTCAAAAGGCCAATAGTACAGTACCGCCTACGTAAACTACGATTATTTCTTTCTATAATAAGACTTACATCTTAAGAGGAGGACAAACTTGTCTACAGAATACTGTACATTAAATATAGTCTACGCATAGGCCTTACACTCTCCCCAGGTCCAGTGTAATGCTAGTTTTAGTCTATTTACAAGTTTAATGAACCTGAGGATGTGCGAAATACATTATCATTTCTCTCGTCCCTTGTCAAAGAATATGTCGCTAACAGAGGTGTGTGCCTAGTTGTGGTCTCTGTTTTTATATTGAAGATTGCGAACGACATTTACAGAACATTGATAACGAGAAATGAAAAGCCAAGAGTTTCTCATTTAGTTTTACTGTTTTATGAAACAATTGACAAAAGAACAAAGGTAAGTAACTCCGCAGAGTTACTTTTTCTTTTCTAGTGTGAATGAGTGATATAAATCTAGTCCAGGGGTGGCAACCTTTTACTACCGAGGGCCGCATCAATAAAATTTGGGGACTGGGGGGCCGCATAAATATTTTTTTTTCTCTCCCAAACTACTACAAGAGTTAGCAATTTCTTGAATTTATTTTACGAAATGATTTTTCTTTCATTCCACTATGTCATTTTACATCATACTTTTCAAAGCTGTGCAGTTGATACTTATTGGGAAGTATTTGAGTGTTTATTTTTGTGCATGTTTCAGTACCTCAAAACTAGCTTACTAGTTGTTATATTCTTGTGACTGCTGTCAAATTACAGTCAATCAGCATCAACCTGTTCACAGATGATTGTGGTTCCAAAAAATGTAAAAGTTTAGCAGCAAAGTCTTTTTGAACATGCGAACATACAGCTTCCGGCACCATGGACTTCCTGGAACTAACTGGAACTTTCAGGTCAAACTTAGTTTGGAGTTATGACATCTGGAGCTGAATCAACTTCTGCGTTAAATGGTGAGCTAAGGGTATTGAGAACTGGTTCCAACTTCTTGACGTCTTAAAATTGGCTTTCAAATTCTACTATCAAGGAATCCAAATGAGTCTTTTACTTTTCAACCATTTCACTAGTTACACCTTTCAGCTCAGGAGAATGGCAAAACCCGATTTCACTTGCTGGCCTCAAGAAGTGGAATAGTTTTGTTTGAAAAGATTTAAGATGCACATACCTTTCATTTGCAGACAACAAAGTGCAATGCATCCGATGATAAACATCAAATCTGTCTTCAACTCTTCATTAGAAATATTAGTAACAAAGTCACAGTCAATGTCATCCAAGGAATCTAACAATTTCTACCTTGAGATTCCATATTCTTCTAAATCTAGGCCAGTGGATACTACTATGTTACCGAACATCGGAACGTTTTGTTTCCAAATCTTCAAGTACTTCTCAGAAATGCCAGCCAGAGCCGGCCTTAGATAATTGGAGGCCCTAGCCGAAGTGATTTTCGTAGCCCCCCTCCCCGAACAAAAAAAAAAGAAAATTGAAAAAAAAAACAGCGAAAAATTATAATTATGCAATTTATTAAACAAAAACCAACAACTTGTGTACTACAACAATAACAGTGAGACAAGTTTCGCATATTCTTTTCTATTGTAATTTAACATACGTCCTGCACGAGGACCCCTGTCATTCAAGCACCTTAAGTAGTTGAATAATTTGATATGCCTAAGGTGTGCCCTGTTCTAATAAATGAATTAGTATTTTGTCGTTTGAAATAATTAAATTATAATTCAATGTAGCTTTGTGTAAACTTTTTTGTTATGAGTTTATGGTTGGGTTATTGTTTTTATTTTATTAAAAGTAAATTTAAAAGCCTGTTTTTTTTAATTCAAAGATCGGGCTCCAGCAGTTGTTACCCTTACCATATTGTACAAGCCAACACAACTCTTTCAACACAGTTCTTTATAGCATTGAATAAATACTGGCCTGGGCTTTTGTCTTTGACTGGGTGTTTCGAAATATTACCATTTCAAAAAATCTTTGCTTACTTGATACTTTTTAGAATGACGTTTAGAGACAATAGTTTCTTTACCCTTTCCTTTATAAGTGATAAGAATCAAATGTTTCAATAATTTCTATAGATATTTACAACTATTTATTTTTAATATATTTGCATTTTTATATGTGTAATATGTGGGCATGCCTGAATTTGTAGGTTTCCGGGGGCCGCATGAAGAACTTCGGCGGGGGCCGCATGTGGCCCACGGGCCGTAATTTGCCCATCCCTGATCTAAAGTCTGGGGAGACCAATAGCTCGCTGCCACGTCACATGTCTGACGAAGTACTACGATGATTGGTCTTACATAAACCACTTACATTACATATTACCAGATCTCCGGCGCTCTCAGAGACCTTTCTTCTGGGAACAGTACCAGGAAAAAGAATATAAGGGGCAGACAGAAAAGCGATGAGAGGACAACAGAAAAGAATGGACGGGCCTGCCATTAAAAGAGGTTCTACCTAGGCAAAGGACAGTGGAATGGAAAAAGATATTCGACGAATCTTGCATTTGCTCTAACGGTTTAACAGACTAAGAAATAGGTAAGGATAAAGATAAAGATAAATCACTTCACTACAGATCAAGGTAGATACAACTCTACTCGTGTCGGGTATCGAACATCAAACTCCTTCATAGGTAGCAAAACCAAGCCAAGTTTAAGTGTACTTAGCCTCTCGACCGAGTATTTAGCGGAACACTTGGCTTTTTTGAAGTGAGAGTAATTCACATGGTGGCCTACTAGTAATTATTGTAGTAGTTTGTATATATATATATATATATATATATATATATATATATATATATCATCACAATCATCATTGGTGGCCTCCTTCAGTCGTAGGACGACTATGGTTCATCTCAGAGCACACTTCCTCATGTGGCTGTGGAGCCCTATTTCGGAGAGACACTCCCGTCGACAGATAGCGCCGGTTAGGGTCCCCTTGGCTTTTGCTTCGGTGGTAGAGGAGCTGGCTGTTTTTCTGTTTGTGCGTTTTTCTTCCTGGGCTGAGACCCATGTACTTTCACTGCCCAGATCTTTCTCTCTCTCTCTCTCTCTATATATATATATATATATAGATAGATAGATAGATAGATAGACTAAATGTTGTTTGTTTACGATTGGTAAATGAGGTCCATTAATAGACACAATTTTCGACTTTAAATTTAAACTTTTGTAACTTATGATGGAGGTGGGGATGAAACTTGACCAAAGCTCATCTGTGTTGATGCTTGCTGCCAACACAACGACCAAGCTACTTATACTCCCCGACGTTAACCAGCTACCTTTTAGATTTTAGTGGACTCAGAGTAAAGTTCCCATTTCAGAGCTTATGATCTATATGTCAGAGGATGTAATTTTAAGAGGCTACAATTATAATTAAGAGTATAAAATTTAAAGATGTTTAGATAAAAGTTACCGAGAAAATAAAATGTAACAGTAGTTAACATGTTCTTGTCTATTGTCAGGCTGTCGTCTGAGATGAACAGTAAGATGGGAAGTAATCTAGTGCAAATGCTACAATTCTCCTTCAACTTGATAGTGTAATTGTCTTCTCTTGTATTACTTGTTAAACTGTATGCTCTTAAGAGAGAACTTTTTTTACATTGTGGCATTCTATACGTATGTCTTTCAAAGTAATGTTTTTATTTACTTTAATAATAGGGGGAAAAAGGAGATCTAGTTTTTTTTGTGGACTTTAGGTCTAAAAATATAAAAAATAAAGATTTCTAAAAAACAAAGTGAAATAGATTATCAACTAGTTAAACAGAACAAGGTCAGACATGTTTTGATAATCTACATATATGTGTATCACTATCTCATAGTAAGTCAGACATGACAGGGTTAAATCATTCCAAAGATAACGACCTAATAGATAGTATTTGTTGCTTGTTCTATTTCATCCAAGCATTAAAACGTTTTCTTATTTTACTTTTGGCGAAACAGAAGACGACGTCCAGAGAACTGGTTCAAACATATCTTTACAACTAAGCTAAAACTCTTTTAGTCCTTTTGTAAACTAAGCATTTGTAATACATTTCTAGTACATTTGTGATACATTTGTAGAACATCTGTGATACATTTGTAGTACATTTGTGATACATTTGTAATACATTTGTAGTACATTTGTGATACATTTGTAATACATTTGTAGTACATTTGTGATACATTTGTAGTACATTTGTAGCACATTTGTAATACATTTGTAGTACATTTGTAATACATTTGTAATACATTTGTAGTACATTTGTGATACATTTGTAGTATCTTATCTTATCTTATATAATACAGACGTTACTTCAAAAAAGAAGATGATTACGTCCTACGCGTCATGCATTTAGTCATGCATATTAACCAATGACTTAAATTCTGCCAAGTCACTGGTTTTTCTGGCTAGCTCAGGCAACCCATTCCATGCTCTAATAGCACTAGGGAAGAAGGAGTATTTGTACAAATTTGTCCTAGCATATGGGACGAGGAATGTGCCTTTATTTTTGTGTCTTTCAGAGTATTTTATTAAATTTTGTTTTTGTATTTGAAGATTATGGTTCAGTGTTTTATGTATAATTGCTACTTTACTTTTTAATCTTCTGTCCTGAAGGCTTTCTAAATTTAGTGATTTTACTAATGGTGTTACCCTAGTCAAATGTGAATATTCGTTTGTTATGAATCTCACTGCTCTATTTTGTGTTTGTTCCAGTTTCTTAATGTTTTCTTGAGTTGAGGGGTCCCACACGATGGATGCATATTCTATTATTGGCCTAACCAAGGTTAAATAACATTTTAGTTTTATGTTCTTATTTGATTTATAGAAATTTCTTTTAATAAACCCTAATGCTTTGTTGGATTTTTTTATAGTTTCATCAATATGTGGATTCCATGACAGTTTTTCATTTATTATAACACCTAGGTATTTTGCGTTTTTAGTCTGTGTTACTGGTTTGCCATGAATAAGATAAGTGGAATTAATTTGTTTTAGTTTTTTTGTTACTCTTAACAACTGACATTTTTCTGGGTGGAAAGACATGCTCCAATTTGATTCCCATTTCTGTAATTCATCTAATTCTCTTTGTAAAATATCTGTGTCTTGTTTTGTTTTTATTGTTCTATATATTATGCAATCGTCTGCAAATAATCTGACTTTTGTTCCTGAACTAATGCAATTTGGTAAATCATTTATGTAAATTAAAAATAGTAGTGGACCCAAAACTGTTCCTTGAGGTACACCTGAGTTTACTGTTATTGGTGTTGATTTAGAGCCATTTATTATTACAGTTTGTTCTCTCCCTATCAGAAAATCTTTAATCCACTGATGCAGTGGACCGT